TCGAAAAATCAGATGTCGAGATCTGAATATCGAAATCTCAGATTTCAATAAAGGAGGCCCGGTATCGAGATTTGAGCTCGAGATTAAAGATCTCGAGATTAAGGATCTCGAGATTTCAAATTTCGAGAAGCTGATCTCGAGATTTGAAATGTCGAGAGGTTAAAACTCGAAATCTAATTTCGAGATGTCAAATGTCGAGACCAGATGTCGAGACCTTGTTTTCGAAATCTTGATCTCGAAATCCTAGATGTCGAAATCCTCAATGTCGAAATCCTGCAAACTGTAAAAATCAGATAAGCAAAATCTGAAGGTAGTTTCCTGTAGAGTAGAATGTCGAGATCCTCGGGTAAAGTTTTGAGCTCGAAAAACGTAGCAGAACATGTGAAAAATCAAGATGTCGACAAGCCCTACTCGAGATATCTCGAAAACAGAATATGCGTAAAACAAAATCTGAAGTATACCCCTTGATCGCTTTGAAAAGACGATTCTAAGGGTGTAAATTTAAAAATTTTGAACAAGAAACAAAATTACAGAGTGAAATTGTAATACCCGAGATTAATTTAAGAGGATTAATAGTACTACTCATACCAACAGAGGTACATCTCCTTTTAAGGGAGCTCATCACCCAAGAAGTCCAAAGTTAAGCGTGCTTGCACGGGAGTAGTCTTGGGATGGGTGACCCCCTGGGAAGTTTCTCAGGGCGCGCACGAGTGAGGACAAAGTGCGCGGAAAAGGCTAGTGGCGGTTTGTGAGGACAGTACTAGAGGTCAGAAGTAACTACCTCGGGGCCTACGGGGCCGGGGTGTTACAGAAATATCGACAATAAGAACAACGTAAAGAAAAACAGTCTTCTGCAGGCGTTCTTCTGATCGGCTCTCGATCGGCTCTGATACCAATTGTTAGTCCCTGTTTCTGTAACAGCAATGAATAACGATCTAACAATGAAGATTAAACGTAAGGATGAACACAGATTGAATCAACGTAAAACCCTCTTTGATAGACCGTGAACTCGTACAACACAAAAGTATGCGCGTAAGGCTATGAAGAATAAGTACGACGTTAACCTAATCCTAAACCCTCGGCTCCCTTTTTATAGGCGAGGTTTAGGTTAGGCGTACAAGGCTTTTAGCCTGTTTATATGGGCCTAACACTTGGCCCGATTGCTATCTAATTCATGCACTAATTAAATACAAGGATTAAATATAAAGCTAATCTATGACAAACTTGATTCACAATTAAATATCTCCAACAGTTCGGATCCTACAGTGTAAGTAGATAGATATAGTACCTTTTGATCCCCACTGGGTCATTAGAGAAAAGTCTAAGGACTGAGTAACTTTGAGTGGTGCTATACTCACTGTGAAAAACCTTCAATCTAGGCCTAAGTGTTGTAAAGGCTAGATTGGCACTAAGTGTATTGGGCTTAATACTTTAGTGAAATCCATCTGAAAGAGGGTGGGACTGGACGTAGGAGGATTACACCACCTCTCAACCAGGATATACTGTGTGTTGATTTACATTCAGTAAACAAAGCATACACTTAGCACTTCTCACAAAAAGATTGAAGTTTGCCAGCAGAATCTTAAGCAGTTGCCTTAGCTGACCCAACTGCTTATCCTACTGCTTAATCACTTGCTTTCTTTGAGACCATTTTCACTCCCGAGACGCACCTCACCATCTCTAAAAGGTCTGCTCTATCATCTCCCAGTAATTCACTTTCTAAGTATAGCAGGTGCCTCAGCAGTTCCCTGAGACCACCCAACTGCTGAGCCCTCTGCTCACATACAAGTCACTTCCTGTGACCATCTCAGTTTCATCAGCCTGCCATAAATATCATTGTCAAAAAGTACGTTCAATTCCTGAAAGCCAGATCAAAATCTGAGCAGTTGCCTCAGCAGTTCCCTGCTTCCTAGCTAACTGCCAAGCCAACTGCCAAGCCAACTGCTAGTCATCTAAGTCCAATCTTCTCCAGATCAGAAAGTGATTAAAACATTCATTATATAAAGGGTAAAGACTTCCACTGTGCATCTATTAATCTCTCAAAAGATTATAGATCAACTCTTCTAGAGGGAAATATGTGTAAAGGTCGAAAAGATTTAAAAGTCTATTCACCCCCCCCCCCCCCCTCTAGACTTTTACCCTATCCGGGACCATCACCCTTTCTTCTCTTGAACATGCGATTTAAATTGCTGATTCCACTTGGACCTGCATGCTCATATTTTTTGTGGTTGATGTCTGCATTCCCTTGCTCACTTGGTTCATTGTTTTCCTCTTCAAACCGTACATGTTTTTCTTCATCACTCTTCCCAACTTCTATATTTTCAAGTTCATTGGCCTTCACACTATTTTCTTTCCTAATTGCTGCCAAAGACAGACGGCTTTTTTTCATCACGGGCTTAGGCATTTTTTCTGCATACATTGCTTTTATCATTGGGTTTTGAAGCTCCTCTTCAGTTGGGCACATTTTCTGAAATTCAAACTGCATGAAAGAATTGTTATAGAAAAAATTACACAATAAGGAGTCAATAAATTAATATAATTATGTTGCAGCAGATTAATTTATAAACATTACCTCTTTGTTGTCAAATATGTGGTCAGCAAGTGTTGTGACACAAGATTTTTTAGGTACTGAGCATTTGAGAATTCTTGGGCACATTCCCTTTCTTTCGTCTTCAACAGTACACATATTTGCCCTCCTAAGTGCAGGAAAACTTTCAAACGCCCATATTTGCAAAGCAAAAGCAAAGCCTGGAAATCCATATCTGAAATTTTTGGACTTATTAATATTCTGTGTCCACTTTGGAACTTTTTCAAGCAGATCTTCCCATATTTCATCTCCCCATGGGTATTGATTCACCAGATCAAGGTTTTTAACCATGTTGATGTACTTTTCTGGGCATTTTACGGTGCTTTGATTCCCAATAAAGAAATTAGCAATTAAATGCAGAATTGCTAACTTTACCCTATCCAAAGGCTGCTTTTCTACCATTATGTTATCAAACTCTTCAAAAGCCTTCTTAATGTCTGCCCTTGACACGTTATTCCTTGAGTTGAAAAATCTTTTCCAGATATCACCTTTAGATTGTATGGATATGACAAGTTTTTCACCTCCCATCTTGAATCATGTTATTAGGGCAAGCTCTTTTTTATAGAAACATACCAATCTGTCATCAATGTTGAAGATGAAGCGGTCTCTATAAGCTTTATTGTTCAGCCTTTTGACATGATTTTCTACAATTAATATGAGCAGCTGACCAGTGATCCACTGAACATCTCCAATGTCTAACATTTTTTCAAATGTCGTGTTTATGAATTCCACCAATTGCTCCTCACTTAGCAGTTTATTTATTTTTTCGATTCCATTGTACAAATTGGAGGAGCATTTAACTTTGAGATCTCTTTAATTGTCAAGCAATCCTCTGCCACGTGATCTTATTATTATCTGCTAGATGCACAAACATTACTTGTACATTGTCTACATTATCTTATAAACTACATAGATAATACACAAGTTATTTACTGTGTTATTAGTAAAGCCCAATTTGATCAATAATATATGACCATTTGAAATCACTGTCTATTAGCCATATATGAAAACCACAATCTCTAAGCGCCACAATCTCTGAGGACCACTTCAAATGAAAATATTGTTCACTTAACTTGGTTCATTAATAAAGCTCAATTGATAAAACAATATATGACCAAAAATCATTTCAGATCACTGTCTATGACCACCTCAAATGAAAATATTGTCCACTTAACTTGGTTCATTAATAAAGCTCAATTGATAAAACAATATATGACCAACAATCATTTAAGATCACTATCTATGACCACCTCAAATAAAAATATTGTCCACTTAACTTGGTTCATTAATAAAGCTCAATTGATAAAACAATATATGACCATAAATCATTTCAGAACACTTTCTATGACCACCTCAAATGAAAATATTGTCCACTTAACTTGGTTCATTAATAAAGCTCAATTGATAAAATAATATATGACCAAAAACCATTGTCTATGACCACTTTATCAAAAGCAATATATGTGAGCAATACATCAATTACCAAAATCAAATGTAATTATTGTCTGCATGATCTCAGAAACATAATGTTCTTACACAGGTAACCTATTAACTTGTTTCATTAAATAAAGCTCAATTGATCAACAATATTTGACCATACACCATTTTAAATCACTGTGTTTGAGAACTATATTGAAAGAAAAATATGTGACAACTAGGTCAGCTACCAAACAAATTGCTTACTGTGTTTGAGAACTATATTAAAACCAAATTGAAATTGTTGTCTATGATTACTATATGAAAACCGTAATTACTGAGATTTTATCAAATCAAACATTAATGCATGTCTTCTAATACTAATTTCAACTAAAACACTTTGCAATGACAATGAATTGGATTTTCAATCTCTCTACTGTAGTCATTATTTCACAATTTCATAATATTAAACAAAAGTAATTGTAGACATTACCTTGTCACATGGAAGAACCTCTGGTTTCACTTCTTCATTTTTATTCTCCTTCGTCAGTTTCTTCTCCTTCGTTTCAAAACCGTCGTCTGAAACTTCATTCTCGTTTTCTATGTTTTCTTCAATTTTGTCTTCCGACTTCTTCTTTCTCTTCATCATTTTTATCGTCTTTCTCTGTGTCGTTTTCTCCTATTCGAACTGCTCTGAAATCGTTTTCAACTTCTAACGGAAAAAAACTGTCGAAAAAGCTTTGGGGGAGTAGTAGCAGACAGTTTTTTGGAAACGAAAAAAGCGAAGTACATTGATCGAGGTTTTAAGTGATGCGGTGAGGCTGTCCTCCAGATTTGTTTTAAATGAGAACATTATTGTCGGTTTGCATGACTTTAAATTCTACGGGTTTTGGAAGTACTATTTTTGGAAGTCAACTATGAATTAGTACTATTCGTAAAATTTTTCCTTTTTGTTTTTGACAAAGCTATAGGCAAAATTCTTTTTACCTCATAAACACATTTAGGTTTATTGCAAAAAATTAGCGCGAAAAAGTTCTCAACCGTTTCTTCTGCTCATTACAGAAAAAATGGCTCTGTATCTGCAGCAGCCGTACTCCGCCTGCCCCCTGTCCTTCCGCAACCATAAATCCACGGCCTTCCGCCCACTAACAATCCCAAATAAATCGCCCATCCTTACTCACCCCTTCAAAATTCACTGTTCACCACCGGGTGCCACATTGTCTCCCCTCACTTCCATTTCGCACCTCAAACCCTACCTCAAATCAGAGTGGCAACCGATCCTCTACGGATGGCTATGCAGTTCGATCTCTGTTTACTGTATTTCCAAACTCGTCCCCGCTGTCGGGAAGCTCCCTGCCTTGATTTCCCCAACAGACGGCATGAAGATAAGGGAAAGAAGTTTGATCTTAGGGGCTCTCTATTTGGTCAGACTCGTTTCTAATTACCTCCAACAGGATTTCCTCTGGATAGCCGCATTGAGATGTGCTTATAAGGTACGAGTTTTCGTGTTCCGGAAGGTTTTGGAAAGGGATTTGGGATTCTTTGAAGGTGAGAGTGCGGTTGCATCTGGGGATATTGCATATAGGATCACTGCAGAGGCTTCTGATGTTGCGGATACCGTCTATTCTCTCTTGAATGTGGGTCTTTTATATATCCCGTGTTTTTATTCATTCTAACTCACCTCTTTTACACGGTAATTTACTTTTTCACAGACAACCGTACCCTGTACCTTACAGCTAATCGCAATGGCATCTCAGATGCTGGTAATCAGTCCTAGCTTATCATTGCTTTCAGCTATGGTGAGAAACAAAAATTAATGTTTGTTATATGTGTTGTATTTCCTTTCCATTATTGGGATTCTTCAGGATTTGAGTAGATGATTTCTGGTCATTTTTTAGGTTATTCCACTAATGGTTTCTGTCATTGGATACCTCGGTGAGAAGCTTCAGCATATATCCAATCAGGCACATCTTACCATTGCTGATCTATCTGCCTACCTTCATGAGGTACTCTTTAAATTGAGGAAATACCCGTAAATGATCCTGAACTTTTAACACAAAAGTGTGGTTCACCTGATATGTCCCAAGTCTTTCATGAGCTTTTTTGAAAGTTCAGGGTCATTGAAGTGTTACTTGTGTTATTTGAAGGGCTAAATGCGAAATTTGAAGAGTTCAGGGTCTATCGAGGCTTTTCTATATCAGAAGTGTAGGTGTTTTTGTCATTTAGCCATTTATTATCATTATTCCATAGATTTTTGGTGGGTCTCCTCCATTCATTAAACTCATACTCGTAATTAAATCAGACTACTTGTAATGAAGCGCTTGTGATTATATTTTACATAGAAAAAATGGTTTTTTCGTTAGGTACTTCCATCCATTCTTTTTGTGAAGGCAAATGATGCAGAAAGTTATGAAAGTTCTAGGTTTGAGTCTCTCGCCTCATATGATCTATCAGCAAGTTTGAGAAGGAAAAGAATGAAGGCATTTATTCCACAGTTGGTGCAAGCTGTGTACTTCGGGATCTTATTTTCATTTTTTGCTAGCTCGCTGATTATTTCAAGAGGGTCTTTTGATTGTTCTGCCATGGTTTCTTTTATAACATCATTGGTTTTGTTGATTCAGCCAATTCAGGTGATGGTATTTACCAAATAATTTGAAATTTGTGAATTTAAGCATTGTGTGCTATGTATTGACAAAAACCTATGGCTCAATATTGGTTTCTTTGAAACACATTTATTTAAGGGTAAAGGGTCAAATAGGCCCCTGTACCGATCCTGTGAGCTCAATTCAGTCCCTGAACTAAAAAAAGGTCCAATTCACACCCCGAACCGGCAAAAAAGGTTTCAAATTTCATTTTTTAAGGGTTCAAAAAGGGTTTAACTATCTTTGTGAAAAATTAAGTGGCTGACTGGCTGCTATATTTTTCAGCATTTTTGTTTAATTAGCTTATTAAAGTTTGGTTTAATATATTATTTTGAAAGGTCTCATTTTATTTATGTAGTAGTTTTCTAATTCATGCTCTTATAATGGGTGGATATCACTGCTCCAATTATGCAGGACATCGGAAGAGCATACAATGAGATAAAACAAGGAGAGCCGGCGATTCAGCGTTTATTTAGTCTGACGAGTTTCAAATCCAAGGTAAACTTTTCTGATGACAAAGTTAATGATGACAGATATGTGTACACTTCTGTTAAGAATTTGAGGATGTAGAAAGAAATGAGTAAATGAATGTTTTTGAGAACTTGTACTTCATACAGTCATCTTCGGTTGTAGACACCACCACCATCTGGTTGCTAAAGTTTTACTGGTCTGAGGCCTCTTTTATCTGAACAAAATCAGGTAAATGATCATAAACAAGATGTCGTGAACTTGGATTGCATTGCTGGAGAAGTAAGCTTTTCTGATATATCTTTTAGATATGGAGAGAGTGGACCCCTAATTTTGGAAGGCTTGAATTTTCATGTTAAAGCTGGACAGACAGTTGCTCTTGTTGGACCATCTGGAGGAGGAAAGACGACTATTGTAAAACTCCTTCTTCGCCTCTATGATCCTTTTAAAGGTATGCTCTCTTAGTACTGCAGATTTATTAAAACTGGTAAGGTCATGGATTTTTTTTTTCTCTTTGTAACTTGATCGAGTTATGCTTGTTTACCTTGTTTAAGGTACCATACAGGTAGATGGGTATGATATTAGAAATATTCAGCTGGATAGTTTGAGGAGACATGTGGGTCTTGTCTCTCAAGATACTGTAAGTTATATTAACTGCTTCTTGTAAGCCAGTTCAGTGCTTAGTGCATGTTTGGATGTATTTCCTGACATGTGAAAAGTGCTGCTTAGAAGAAAAAGCGCTTATACATGTGAGAAAGATGTTCCAAATGTGCTTCTTAAGAAAGTTTTCTTTTTTTAAATTCTGACCAAAAACACTTCTGGAATTGTAATTCCTAATTCATTACTGCGTGTGTTTTTTTAGTAAAATGTTTTTAGTAGAACTGCTTTTATTTAGCTCCCCATTTGGTATCCATCTACCAGCTTTGTTATGTTCATCAGCAGAAATAGCTTTTGACTGTGTATTTCAACTGAAATGGATATTATAAAACACTACTCCTTTTAACAAATTCAGTGGATTTAGCCATTTAAGCCAAATAAAACCTTCACCAAATGGGTCTTGAAAACTTTTAAAAATCACGTTTGAAAAAACACATCCCTTAATAACTATTACTAGCATTTAAAAATACAATAAGCTAAAATTCATATTAAGCTTCACCATTATATTTTGGGGAATAGATAAGGGATTTTAGGCATGGCATCTGATTTGTCTATGTTTTTAATATCAAAGAAAATTGTAAAGTCATGTGGCATTTATTTAGTAGTTGATCTGGAATTCTTGTAACTTTCAGACACTCTTTTCTGGTACTCTTGCCGAGAACATTGGGTATAGGGATCGAATGACAGGTATTGATATGGATAGAGTTGAACTTGCAGCTAGAACTGCCAATGCTGACGAATTCATTGGAAAACTACCAAATGGGTATCTAACTAACGTTGGCCCCCGGGGCTCAGCTTTTAGTGGTGGCCAGAAGCAAAGGTATATAATACTTACAACACATTATGGAATCTTTGCAACAACGTTCTAAGAAGCAATCAGCATTAGGCAGGCATCTAGCGCCTAACTGGGCCTTTTAGTTTGCAGTTTTGCACCTAAATCCATTTTTGTATGGAGGGCCTTTTGGGAGATATCCATACACATCCCCGTGGGCTTCATCTAAACCGGATAATATCAAAGTTAAGGTACATTTGTTGTCCGAATGGACTTTGGCGGAGTTTTTAAAGAATAAAGCTTCACCGGGGGGGTGGGGGTGGGGGGGTGGGGGCATAGTGGTCCAGAGAAGCCTATTGCCAATGCGGGTCTTGTAAGAACAGACTGAGATTTTCACTATCTATAAATGTGATACTGTGATCATAACCAAATTGGTAGAGTATTTATGGTTGAGATAATTGAGAAGTTATGTTTCTTATGTTTCTGTGGTGCTTTGCCAGAATAGCCATTGCTAGAGCAATTTACCAAGATCCTTCCATTCTAATTCTGGATGAAGCAACTTCTGCATTAGACAGCAGATCAGAGTTGATGGTGAGGCAAGCTCTGCAGCGTCTGATGCAAAATCGCACCGTAAGCTCTTAGTTCTGATTTAGGCTTATTTGGTAGCCTTTTATAAGGACTGCCATATCCTTTCCCAGTTGGTTCTGATTTAGGCTTATTTGGTAGCCTTATCCGAACTTTTCCTATTATCAGTTTCTCAGCCGAATAAGTTTTCTAAAATTGACTTTTATGAAACAGTTTTCTTTTAGTCGTGACAGTCCCTACATCCTTTACGGCTCTATGTAGGTGCTAATCATTGCCCACCGCTTAGAGACAGTGCTAATGGCCGAACGAGTTTTCCAGTTGGACAATGGCGGGCTGCAGGAGATACCGCTCTCCTCACTCGTAGATTCTCAACAAAGCAGTTTCCTTACTCTAGCAATCTGATGGGGTCTGCAGGAGTATGTCAAGGAATCCACTGAAAAACATAGATGTGAATGAAGAACAGAAAATAAGAAAAGAAAATTATATTTTTATTAGAGCAGAAAATTGAGTTTGGTGGCTTTAGAGTAGGGACATGTTGAGCACAATCCTTACAACTGGAGTTGTACTGTGCTCATCTTTCTTGGACATTCATTTTTGGTTAAGCATATGCATTCATAAAAAGTGCACAATTCTCTTACAAGGCTGAGTCTCTGTAGTGACTTGCGTGCTTCTTTAAAACCAAGATTGAAGTGGAATAAACTATTGGCTGGGATGATTTATAAGGTTATCATGCATGCACCTTGGAAACTATGGATTATCTTGGATGAAATCACACGTTATTAGATTAAAAAGATTACCACAATATAGGAGTAGTTATCGTGAGAAAGGACTCTTAGGAGAGAAATGAGAATGAATTTGGACCGTCGGATTGTATTTTCTAAAATTGAATTGTGCATTGGTAAAACTGAAATGTGCATTAAGTGAAATTGAAATGTGCAGAATGAAAAGTTAAAATCAAATGTGCATGATGTGAAATTGAAATATGTAGAATAAAAGGCACAAAAATGTCACTGCATTGTACTACCTCTGTCTCTTAAAACTTTGCCAAAGTTGACCGGCACGGAGAATAATAAAGTAAAAACTGTGTGGTTAAGGTTTGTGTAGAGGAGAGAGAAATAACAGAAATCACAAAAAATTGATCAAAGGGGAAAGTGACAGTTTTTTGGGACGTCCAAAAAAGGAAAGATGACAAAGTTTTAAGGGACGGAGGGAGTAGTTTCTATTCTGCACATTTCAGTTTCACATAGTCCACATTTCAATTTCCTCTAATGCACAATTCAGCATCACATGTCTCTTGCTTCTTGTGCTGCACATTTCAATTTCACCTAATGCACATTTCAGTTTTACTTAATGCAAATTCAATTTCACAAAATACAATCAAACGTTCCATATTCATTCTCATCTCCTAAGATCATTTTCTCGTTGCTACCTAATTCTATATATATATATATATATATATATATATATATATATATATATATATATATATATCTGTGTGTGTGTGTGTAGGTTTTGGTTCAAATAAGAACATGATCTTAGGGGAGAAATGAGAACGAATCTGGACCGTTAGATTTACTTTTAAGTGAAATTCAATGTGCATTAGATGAAACTGTAATGTGCATTAAGTGAAATTGAAATGTGCAGCACAAAGCGTATGATACAATGTCATTAAGTGAAGCTGAATTGTGCATTAGGTGAAATTGAAATGTGCACTAGGTGAAACTGAAATGTGCAGAATAAAAGGTACGATTAAAAGGTACGATGTGATGTTATTTTTGTACATTTTATTCCACACATTTCAGTTTCACCCAATGCACAATTGAGTTTAAATAAGAACATGTTTGATATTATATTTTTATACAATATGTGTGTATAGGTTTTGGTTCAAATAAGAACATCATCTTAGGAGAGAAATGAGAATGAATCTAGACCGTTAGATTTGCTTTAAGTGAAATTCAATGTGCATTAGATGAAACTACAATGTGCATTAGGTGAAATTGAAATGTGCAACACAGATAGTACGATACAGTGGTATTATGTGAAGCACAATTGTCCATTAGGTGAAATTGAAATATGCACTAGGTGAAACTAAAATGTGCAAAATAAAAGGTACGATGTGATGTTATTTTTGTACGAGAGAGAGAGAGAGAGTCATTCTCCTGTCCAGTAGGTTTTGGTCTGAACGCCGTCCGAACACCGCCGTTCGGGGTGGTTCCCGGTGGAATTTTTCGATGAAATTTTTATGGTATGTTATTCATCAAGTCTAGTTTATCCACACAAAATTTCAGCTCAAAATTCGATCGGGAAGGACGTCAAATAATTTTGGAAGTTAACTGCGCAAAATTATACATAGAAGAATGTAGTCAACTTACAAAAATTATTTGACGGCCTTTCTGATCGAATTTTGAGCTGAAATTTTTTGTGGTTAAACTAGACTTGATGACGAACATACCATACAAATTTCATCGAAAAATTCCACTGGGAACCACCCCGAACGGCGGTGTTCGGATGGCACCTCAGGTCTAAACGTTCGGAGCTGAGAATTTTCCTATATATATAAGAGAGATCAAATACAAATCATTCTTAAAATACTAACCTTTAAACTGAATAATATGCAACACTTTGAATTTCAATATGCAATACAAATAATGTAAATATGCACAGTGTGAAAATTTAATATGCAATACAAATAATATGGAATACTTTGAACTTCAATATGCAATACAAATAATATGCAACACTTTGAACTCCAATATCCAATACAAATAATGTAAAGATCACAATTTGTGACGGTTTGTAGGTTAGCATGAGAGGACTAGTTTGTATGTGATCTCACCCCTATATATATATATATATATATATATATATATATAGACACACACACATACATACATATATAATAGAGATCAAATACAAATCATGCTTAATTTACAAAATACAAACTTATCTTGGCCATCCAATGAGTTGATCTAAATGATATAAATGCAAGGTGGCATTTTTGTAATAAAACATAACTTTTCTAGGGTGCAACTCATTGAACGTAAATGTGCAACTGCTATTTTATGACTATATAATATGCAACACTTTGAACCTCAATATGCAATGCAAATAACGTTAAGGTGCATCGTACAAACATGTTCATTAAGTTAATTTTCATTGTTGTAAACACCACTTTTATGTCATTAGTTTGCACTTTCTACAATATAACCTACTCTTTATCCATGCAATTGTGCACCTCCATAAACATTTTAAGTATAAATGATTTGAATTAAAAATTAATATGAATATACATGGGTGTAAACTATCTAGTACCACATGTATATTAAATACATACAGAAGCAAATTATTGTATCACCCTTTCTAAGATTTAATACTACCATTCTTTTTACAAAATGAAATGCACTTTTATCATGTGCAATTTCAAAACATACTAATGTGCACTAGTATATGATACTTTTTAAAAACTTTTTGTAACATCAATTTAATTAATTTAATATTTAACATTTCCACATAAAGTCATTTAAATAATCAACACCATCTATCAATGAAACGAGTATGAAGTGAAATACCATTTTATTACATTAATTTGCACTTTTGTGAACTGTACATTTTATATCATTGGCTTGCATTTTCTACTCATTATACTGCACATTAGACATGCAGGTGTGCACTTCATATGTTTTTATTCAAAATGATTTAAAATAAATATACAAGGGTGTTGATTAACAATTATCATGTGCAAATTAAATATATAGAAAAAAATACTATTATATCATACTTTCTAAACTTCTATATTAACATTTTTTTACAAAATAAAATGCACTGTAATAATGTGCATTATTATATATACAAAAGTGCACTATTATATTTCCCCTTATAAAATTTTACATAACCACTTTTTCCAGAATGAAATGCACTTTCTTCCAAATGCATCACAATTGTTGTTGGGACAACGTATAAATATCTTCCATTCCACTTGAATGATTCATCTTGCTAAGTTCCTTTCTTGTTGAATCCATTAGGGTGCAATCATAATCATGACTAACTGCAATCATGTGTGAGTGTTATAAAAAATATTGAACATAATAGTAGAATGAAAATGCATTAAATAATCCATGTAAGTGCACTTGTGGTGAGTTAAATAAGAATATCATAGCACACACAATCTAAAAAACATTACAAAATGAAAGCAAATATTTGAGAAAAATCTGTGTGTAATCATATCTTTTTTCAAAATAGGACTGCATAAGTGCATCATATGAGCATGAGAGTGCATAAAAAATTGTGAGATAAAATTGTAATAAACAACAGTAACTCATACGTAGTAATTACAATAATTCATAGTTTCAATAAACAGAATCAATGTACCATCAACAAATATAATAAAAAATAAACAATAAGTGATGATTTATAAACTAAGAGAAGCAACAAACAAACAAATACTACTAGTAATAATAATTACTATGAGCAGAATAGGGCAGTGGTCAGACGAAGCTTTACTAAGATGCTGCACATTAATATTCTCAAAAACATCCATAAAAACTTGATTGACCAAGTAACAGTCTAATTTTTCCCATATCCTCCCGTTAGCTCTGGTGCCCATCCAAGTATGAGAAGAGCCAAAAGTTGGGGGGTGCATCAAGTCACAAGCATCTATGCAGTCCCTGAAGTCCATCTCCCAACCTGGGCGTTGAAGGCCCTTTGTATTCATTAACAGAAGCTACAATATTAAAGTCACCACCTAACACCCACGCCTCTCTTTCATTCTGAGCACAAACTCTCAAGCCCTCCTAAAGATGGCCCCTTTCCATCCGCGTATGCTTACCATACACCGGAGAGAAAACAAAATTGAAGTCAAGAGGAATGAAACTCATTTTAAGCACCAAAAATTGGTCTCTGTCCGAAATAGACAGAACGTCAAACATAGACGAATTCCACATAACCCATATTTTATTGGAGTTTGACATAAATAAATTTGAAACCCCAAAGAGTTCATATAGGAAAGACCGGTAGAAGCATTTACCATAGGCTCAATAATTGTAATTAAATTTAAAGAATGCTGCCTAACAAATTGACGTAGTCTTGGGCAGGCCGAAGCAAGACCACGCACATTCCAAGTGAGCATCTTCATAAGGAAACCTCAAAGGATCCTTCCCTAGTGTTCCTCTTGGCTGCCAACCTAGTTGTGACCGATCGAGAAGGAGCCTCTTTGGTTTTTCTTCTTCCTACCACCCCCAACGCCTCCGTTTGTTCTGTTTCAATCAAAGCCACCTACTTCATAAGTTCCCCATATACTTTTTTCCATGCTTCAGTAGTAACCACATTTACTTCAACCTGCTCCCCATTCGAAACAATTCCCTCCGGCGTTGACATGTCACCTTCAATATAATCATTCTCTTCCTCAAAAGAAATAAGTTTAGTGACATCTGTAGGGTTTCCACCTTCCTCACTGATATTCATGTAATTTCCGATTGTATGTTTGTATTTTTAACTAGTTTTTATTAGTTCTAGTTGAGGAAATTACACACTTTTGGTGTAATACTTTATTTTCATATTTATTTGTAATTTGTTTAGATTAGGACTTTTCTGAGCTAAACAGGTCAAAGATCATCCAAGGGATCAAGATTGGACCTTAAAAGATCAAGGAAAGTGCAAGGAGGCAAGAAAGATTTCGATTTGGAAAAAATACTCATGTACCCGGTCGGGTATTGCTTATACC